ACTCGAAATCATATAGCAATGTGGGGTCGGAAATGCTTTCCTGAAGCGGTGACGTACACAGAAGCACCATAAAGAAAAGAGACCGTAAGTGAAAAATCGCTAAAATAATACATTGAGAAAATTATATGGCCTCCTCGGTCACCCGACCTATCATGTCTTGATTTCTGGAGTCATATGAAAACACTGGTTTATGACACCTCTGTTGATAATGCTGGTTGCAAGAATCGCAGTAGCTGCCTGCGAGATATGCTTGGAGTATTGCAAAATGTTCGAATGTCCATGCGCCGGAGATGTGAGGTGTATATTGTAGCCGGAGGCAGAAACTTCGAACACTTATTTTGGCCCATGTACCATATAATTTTTTCAATGTATTATTATAGCGAGTTTTCACTTATATAAAATGATAAATCTCTTTTCTTTATGGTGCTTCTGTGTACGTCACCGCTTCAGGAAAGCATTTCCAACCCCACACTGCTATATGATTTCGAGTCGTCAGGATGCCCCCTACCCCTCTTACAAGTTCTGAGACGCTTAACTGAGACACTATGTATATACATTTTTTGTAAATATATTTACATGCAGAGAGAAATAACGGAATTAGCATAATCACTGTATTCTAAATTCACAATCTTATTCCGTAATGGCTACTTTTGTGTGCGAGACTTAATCACACGTGACAATTTTTATATGATTTTCAAAATATTTCCATTTTATATTTAGAATAGTGTGATGAAAATCAAATTAATGTAGAATAATGTCCTAAGTGTGTTAAAAAAACTTATGTGAAGAGTAGACCAAGAGCGCATGCTGTAAATTTTATAAAAAACTAAAACGGTTGATGTATTTAGTTTAAAGTTCATTTTTGCTACACTTATTACAGACATTTAAGAATATCCTTCTCAACCCATAGGGACAGTTTATTTATAAATTACTGTTTTAATTACTATTAAATTACTATGAAGTATAAATTACTATCTTATTAATCTTATGGTTATATTTAAAAGTCACTTATAATAACAAGCAATGTCTTTTTTACAAATAAAATCGTGTGCTTGAAAGCGGTTTTAAAATTTTAAGAATGATTTTAAACGAAAGTTTCAGTATGTGGACTTTTTAAAAATAACAGCTTGATTAACCTGTTTGTGCCCAGCGTCATATTTATAGGACAGTTTCTTTTCTCAAAAACATATATTGTGGTAGGACAATTGTTTCAATTTTGTCTTTTATCTAGGAGAATTAAAAGTTTCCCTTCCACCATAATTTATTGGTGATTTAAGTTTCTATCCCTAGATGTATAACTATAAGGTGCAGGGACATTTCGAACTGAAATGGTAACGAATATAGTTGATGTTAGCCATTTAGTTGAATAACATATTATACCACTTTTTTCATAAAACCACTTTTTGTACTACTTCAATATAAAAATTCGGGATAAAACGGGTTAATATGTATTGAACTTTAACAAATTTAAAAATTATACATATTGGCATTTCCCTTTAAATAATAGTTTATGAGGCATAGCTATGACAAATAAAACTGTGCTTTGAATGCTAAGCTTAATTTAAAAGTGTAATAAAGGTGAATTTTTATTTCCCTTTTTGTCGAATGCCACTTTTTTATTTGTTTGTTTGAATATTTCATTTGAATATCCAATGTTATTTGAACCAGTTGACAGTGATATTAAAATAAATAAATAAATAGTAAATAAATTGATGAACTAAGTGAATTCTTATTTCCCTTTTTGTCGAATGCCACAATTTTATTCGTTTGTCTGAATATTGCATTTGAATATCCAATGTTCTTTGAACCAGTTGACATTGATATTAAAATAAATAAATAAATAAATAAATAAATAAATAAATAAATAAATAAATAAATAAATTCCTCTTCTATTTACCTGAACTACATGTTTCAGCATGAAACGACTCACCATAAGGTGCGCATCATTAAGATTCATGTATACTGGCAAATTAGACACAATTTTTTTCATGCCAGACATCATACTCTTTAAATTATAAATTAGTTCATTTGGTATATCACTAATTACAATATCTTCAATAACTAATTTTTCTACCATTTCAGGCTGCAAAAAAGTATAAGAGAAATTAAAGTCATGATGTGATATGATACTTTCTTAAGTGTTTAAGTTCTTCAAGACTTTTTTTGAAAGAAAACAAAAAAGCCATATTTTCAATATTTAAAGGGAAGCATTAATTTCAAACTTATTCTATCCTGTTGAAAAAATTATCAGCACTTTGAAATGAGCAAATAGTTTAAATATTCTAAAAATTAGAAAATTTATCAGATATTTTAAGCATTGCGAAATTAGTAATATTTTTCCCACCTAAATGAAAATCTTTAAGTTCACCGAATAATTCGCATTCCCAAAGAGGATTTTTTCAGAAATTTAAGAAGAAAATAGAGTACAAATATTCTTACTCTTTCACAAAACTGTGGCTATTCTTCATCTTGACATTTTGCACCATTTTTATGTTGAACATTGGTCGATAAATAAAAACGGATAGTATTCAGTTTAATATTCGTGAAAAAGTGTTACAGGCAAATAGCACAGTAAAAAGAAATAAAAACTATAATATTCGCTTAACAGCGATGTTTCGTATAGCGGAAGATATTTGTAGGAACAATCGTAAAAAAAATTACTATACAACATTCTTATACTTTTGTTTCGTAAGGAATCAAATATATATATATCTTTAATGATATTATAAGTTTTTAAATAAGCTCTTTGACATTGATCGAAAAAATAGCCATTTGAATAAACAAATATATTAAAATATCAATAGGTATTTTTGCTCAATTAGATATTAATATTTGGGAGCCTTCGTGTAAATATCCTTAAAAATTAATTTTAAAAAGGATTTCAAATTGTCTTATTTAGAGGGGGTGATTATTTTGAAGCATCTCGATTCACAAACAAAAAAATGACCTTATTTTAAAACAATAGAGGGGCAAAATTATTTAAAAAAGAAAGTCAAATAATCATAAATAAGAAGGTATTCAAACTGTTAAGTGTGAGAAAAACCTTTTATTAATTCGATTAAAAAAAATCAGAATTTTATCGCACTGACTAGACGCAACTAACGCAACCACTTTGTTTTTTGCGGATTTGTACAGATTATAGCCGAGAGTGCTAATCAGTCAACCTCGCGACCGAAAGAATGATAAAATTAGGGTTTGATTCCAGGCTTCGACGTCACAATATTTCCTCCATGCCTTTCAGCATATGAAGGATTAACAGTGTCCTGCACTCCCCGATTTGTAACCATGAGTTACTAGAATACTGTATTTTCATTCATGCATAGTTGGCAGCACTGTAAATCTGCTGAACTATGTCCAATGTCCAGTTAATTTTTTTTTCAATTTTTTGAAACCATGCTAGTTGTAAGTAGTTAAAAGACCACATAGTTTTGTATCCATAGTTTTTTTTAACCATACTAGTTGCAAACGGTTTCAAAACAGTAAAGATAAAAAAAATGTTCTTTACCGTAAATTTTATGGTTATTTGTATGGCCAGTCAGCCGCCGGCTATTTTGCCATAATTTCAAAATAAAAATTCTAATAGTGAACAGAATGCATTAAATATGCATTTTCATCATCAAACAAAATTTTACCTTTAAGAGAGCTAATTCAATACATGCTCTTCCTGCCATACTGTGACCAAACAAGATAGCTCGATTGATGTCTTGGTCTCGCATAAATTGCAGGAGATCTGAGGTTATGTGCTTTAGCGTAAATTCCTCTGTGTACTCACTTTCTCCGTGATTTCGAAGAGTTACAGAGTATACCTAAAAGTACAGTGTTTCAGTAAGTACGTATTACTTTTATCATTTATTTATTATTTAAACATTTGAATATAATAAATGATAAATAAAAATAGTATTCATTATGCTGATTTTATTGAAAGCAGAATTAAATAGATATATATAGATAAAGTTACTTTGCACAGAAATAAAAATGTTGTGATATTTCTAAAATTTAATGAGGGTTTTAAATTGAAGAAATATGCAATAGAGATACGTAAACTTAAGAAATTTTAGACCATTTGAAAAGGTGACAAAAGTAATAACAACATTCCTTATATATTGCTCAAGAAAATTATCCTCTTTTTCTGACAGCCCAATCAATCATTTAAAAAATAACGTATCTTTTCTTTTCCCTTATCAATTCTCTTATCCCTTTTTTAAATAAAAAAAGTCCTCGTCATACTTTCAATTACCTTAATGTTAGTTTCATTAGCTACACAGTACGAGAAAAAAATCACATAGAAATGAAGAATAACTTTTGACCTTATTATCATATTTTCATGTATAAAACTGTAATCTCCATAGCTTGAAAAATTTCCAAGTGTAATATTTAAACTCAAAAAATATTTAAAAAAAGCATACTTTTACTGAATAAACATAATTTTTATTTTTGAAACATTCATCCGACTCAAAATATGAGGTTGCAGGCATTTAGAGAGTATCCTAGATATATGCCTAGAGAGGAGAATATTTAAACGTTTCTCCCAGTTTACGGTTTATTTTTGGGTTATTTTTATTTACTTATTTGGGTAACAGGATACTACAGAATCTTTTATTTCGGAATTATTTGAGCCATATTTCTAATACCTTTCATTTTTACTAAACATCTTTTTTTTACTGTTAAGAGTACCTTGTAAAAAATACCTACCCCGAAATTTTTTAATATTTTTTATTTCACCACTCCAATCAGGTGCATTATTCATATTATAAGTCTTCAAATTATTTTGATCATTATTAAAATATACGCTAAATATTTTTGAACAATTTTTAGCAGTTATCTTAGTTTCTCTTACGAGAAAGACACCACCATTTCTGTCATTAGCATTTTACTATTGTACTTAAAAGATATGTTTTTCCTACCAATAGCATATACTAAGTCACGTTTTTTCTTCATTTTTCTTTTATGAATTACTTAATTAAACCACATACTTCCAATCTATTAAGAAATATTATCAGCTTCAAAGTATTTTGCTTATATTGAATGTCGAAATAAATTTATTATGATGCTCTCTTCATGGAAGTATACAATTCTGGCACAGTTAACTGTGGCAATTATTTTAGATCGGAAAAAAATAATTTTTTGTGGGTTTCTAACGAATAAAAATTTATGCCCATAAAGCCTATTAATTACAAACAGTAAAATTTTTTTCTTCACTGCATTAAAAAATATTTGAGGCATTTCAATTTCGATGTATAATTACTTTTTAAAAAATTCTTTTATATATTTTGAACTTGATAAGAAATTCTTTGTAGTAGGTAAAGAGAGTTAACCAATCATTGTATTTTCTCTATATAAAAAATAATTTTGAATGCTTTTCACAGATAAAACATTTCTAGTAATATTACCATACTGACAAGAAGCAATTCCGGTAAATAAAACCAAAATATATGATATTTAAATCATTCATTTGGAAATTTTTCCTTTTATATGGTAACAGTTTTCTTGGAATTTTGGTTTTACAAGTTATTTACTAAAATTAATCCCATACTACAAAACAATATTTTACAATTGATTTTACCAAAATTATTACCAAAGCACTTCGGTAAAATTTACTTAGATTTCTCGTGTTCCCATAGAGGCAGAAACACGTAAAATTTAATATATTATGATACTTTTCATTCTACTTTTTTGTCAGTATATAAAAGAAGCATTTTCCATTATCCAAAATATTTCAGATTATTCTACTCCATAAACATTTTGAGTTCCTGATGTAATTAAACATTTAGAGTTTTTTTTCAATAAAGTTCAAATTACAATGATTCATCTTACCTTTCTTTTTGACATCTTACTTATTTCAGACTTTACACGGTTCCATGACGACACATTACCAAATAGCCCATGTATTAAAATAATTGGAGCCCGGCCTGATTCCGTTGAATCTGATGTTGAAAATGAAGTATATTCCAACTTTACCGGCTTATACCTAGCATAAAAAAATAACTTGTAAAATATTGTTTAAAACAAATATGAGAAAATCTTAATGGTTCATGCGAGAGGTCTCAAATATACTCATTAACTAGTGCAGACGGCATTTAAGTTAGGAAATCAGACAAAAAAAGTACTTTATCTGATAAAACAGACATTTTCTTCGATTGATTTCAATTCCTGACACTCAATCTGCAAAATATAGTACCAATAGTTCGGTCAGAAGAGTAGTTAAAAATTTGGAATTATTAAAGGGATTGAACAAATTTTCCCCGCAATTGTAAAATTTGTTTATCCAAATATAAGTCCGTTCAAAATTACCCTTATAATTTTTTTAATTATTTATATTAATAATAGTTGAAAAGATTTAGAATTGTAAGGTATACTAATTTTTACATCATTACAAAGAATATAATTTTATATAGTAAATGATAAATTTTAACAAAATCGGTCAATTACTCGCTGAAAAATCAAACTTTAAATGTACGATTATTTTAAAATTCAGTCTCAGAATTTAACACGGAGATTAACTCTGAGAATTTAAAATCTCAGGAATTCTTTGCTCAATTTTGTTCAAATTTTTTACTTCGACATGTAAGCAATCATTGACATGTAAGACGTGTTAGCTGTCTTAAATTATAACGATAACTTAAATGGGTAAAAGTATGATTTCAAGTGAAATATTTTAACAACTAAATATTAACAAAAAAAGTTACGAGATATATCTTACAAACGTTTCATAAAATATTAATAAAAATATTATAACCTACTTTTCTGTTAAGTCTATTTCCATTTTACTTTACAAAATTTTACCAAATATTACATTAAACCACACGGGAACATGGATGAAAAGTATTAAAAAGAGATATTTAGACGAAAAGCACCTAAGCAATTAGAACTTTTTTTCGCTAATTACCTGCTATTAATGGTATTTATGATGTAGGAAAAAAGGAGTTAAAGGAAAGCTATTAAAAGCTTACTTTTAAAGAAATAACGTCATTTTCGGCTATGTGTCACAATTGTAATTTCTCCAGTTACTTCTCTTTTCTTATTAAAGCTGTTATTTTTTGCTCATATCTGTCCTTTACTTTTTTTGAGATTTTGGAATAGCACGTGTAAGGAGAAAAGGCGCAGTTATTTCAAAGTTCAAAGTATAGCTCATTTATTTGGAAAATCAATTCAGCTGTGCTCTGCTTTGTCTCATAAAATATACAACAACTATCTGAATACCCATTCTTCAAACTCGGTGAATGAAGAAAAGAAAGCAAATGGATATTTAGATATGATAGAATATTAATGGCTTATGGATATTAAGGTGATATTGGTATAATTGAGTGCACTTATTGAAAAAAATTATTTAATATGGGTTTAAAAAATTCTGATTTGTTTAATTTATTGAAACGTTATGCTATTTGAATAATTAATTTCAATGATAAACATCAAAGATATGTTGTCAGTTAAAAATGTTACATAATACATTAATCTGTAGTAATATATTCAGATTGTTTAATTATTGAATTTTTTAAAAATCAGGAAAGATCTTCTTTCAGTTTCTGTAACCCTACCATGAACATTGTAGACCCAAAAACCTGAAATTATACTTGTGGAGGATCGGACATTTGACATTGTATGGTAAATATTGTAGAATTAACGTTAAAATAAGACTTTTGCTTTAAATTATGAAATTTTAAATTTGTTCTGCAGTAAATGAATTTTATTGATTATACAATATTACACATTTAGGAACCAGAAATTTTTATTAATTTCATGTTAATTGGTTTTAAATATATATATATATATATATATAGCACAATAAAAACAAAGAGAAAAACGAAGAAAATTAATAAGTTCTATTAACTGCGCTTAAGCTGCAAGTATATAGAACTCATAAAAAAAGCTAAAATATTGAGAAAATAAGGAAAATAATAAAAAATAATGACAAGAGAAGAAAATTATTAAAAATTATTTTTCAAAAATATTTAAAAAAGTATAATTTTTAATATCGAAAAGAAAAAAAAGAAAAAAAAGGAAATTAAAAATCCGGAAAACGAAACAAAGAAGAGATATAATCTCTTTATCATCCCACACGATTATATCCGCAAAAATGAGTGCTTTCTAATATTGTATTAATATAGCCAAAGCAAAATATACCAATACAATAGTGTGAGGAGCATTAAAAAAATTGAAACGAAATTAGAATACTTTAAGTAAAAAATATATACGAAAAAACAAACAAATATATCGAGCAAAAAACAGAAAATAAAATGTAAAGAGATTAGAGAACAGTACGCGAAAGGAAATCTACACAGTGAGGATCTTTCTACATCTTTATCTACATCTTTCGCGTACCGTTCTCTAATCTCTTTACATTTTATTTTCTGTTTTTTGCTTGATATATTTGTTTGTTTTTTCGTATATATTTTATACTTTATTAAATACTTTTGAGAAATTATTTTTAATAATTTTCTTCTCATGTCATTACATTATTTTTTATTATTTTCCATATTTTTTCAATATTTTAGCTCATTTTATGAGTTCTATATACTTGCAGCTTATGCGCAGTTAATAAAACTTATTAATTATTTTCGTTTTTCTCTTTGTTTTTATTGTGCTATGTTATAGTGATCATATTTAAAGCAGCTTTAGCGCTTAATATTATCTACTATTAGCTTACTTTCGTTTTCTTTTTGTTTCCGTTTTTAGTTCGTCTTCTAATTTCGTGTGTTTAGGGCATTGCTCTTTGAGCCTAATTTTCGGACTTCAGCAGCAATAATAATTTGACTCCTGCTAAAAATCAATTCAAAATGAGTAAATCCTGTTTTT